GTCAAATCCACAGTAGATTTGTAATTCCAAAGATATTTTAATTAAAATAAAAGTTGTGAAATGTGGTGTATGTCACAGTCATGTGGGATCAGTACTGTGTTACTATGTAAGTTTTTACTTCAAGGCTGTTCATTTAGCATAATTTAGCATGCAAATATGAGAAGTATCAAGAGTTGTTACAAACCCAGATTATTATTATTATTATTATTATTATTATTATTATTATTAGTAGTAGTAGTAGTAGTAGTAGTAGTAGTAGTAGTAGTATGTGTGTGTAGCAACTGATTGAGTTTAGGTTGATGTTATCTTTTTCCTTTCACTGTATTATTTTTTCAGTGTTATGCCAAGTACCAGTCTTGCTCCCAAATAGTAAAAAAAGAAGTCTCACCTGGAAGGGATCCACCCTTGTTTATACACATTCTGACTAATCTGGTTTGGTATAACAAAATAAGCAAAACTAAATTAATTGACAATTCATGGAGCAGCTGCTGCCCAGTTTTCTGATCAGTTAGAGGCTAGATTCTCTGTACTTAGAGATTGTCTGATATCTTCCTCCTTACAACACATGAGAGCTCCCTGTTGCCTACAAGAACGCTATATTACTGCAGGATTTATGGAACAAGAAGTCGTTCATCTGCTCTGGAGTGACTGTCATCTGTCACTTCCATTCACGTGGTGGTTTGTTTCCCAGTATGATTATAGGGAGGGAAAATGTCATTACAAAGTTTCCAATATTTCTGGTGCAATTTTGAGTTTTATAACTACAAGATTCTTGTCTCTACAACTTCATTGTATGTATGTTTCAGCTTCTGGCATACAGTAAACTTGGGAGATCAAAAAGGGCTGTTCATCTCTTTAGTTCTCTCAGTACTGAAATGTAACATATACCAGATTGCTGGAGATTACAGAGGTAAGTAATTGGATGTGGCACGTTCTTGTGTCTGCATTCCAATGACACAAGTGTCCTCAAAGATAAAGTAAGCTAACATTCAAAGTCTGATGTAGATATTGGAGGCAATATGATAATATTGTTCTCTGTATCACTTCAGTAATGTAGGTTGAAGGCAACTGTTGAGAGTTTGCATAAGATGTTTATAAAGAGCTGTCATTTTCTTGTCTAACTTTCTGAATTTCAGTAATCCTGAAATGTATGTCTCAATGTTAGCATGTTCCTATGAACATATTTTTGAGGTATTTTCCCTGCTCCTTTTTACATGGGAATTTTCTAGAAGTAAAATAACTTTTCAACCCATTTACTATCTGACTTCCTTTTTATGAATAGGAAAACATAAACAACACGTGGAGTGTTATCAAGACATGAAAAGTATTTTATGTTATAATTTACTTCTGTAATAGTGGTTTGGGGTGCTGCTTTTGACTCCAGAAGCATAATTTGTGTCTCAGCTCTGTTGTTTCAGAAAGTACATAAGGAAACGTATCTGCAAATCCATGTATGCTTAGGGGGAAAAAGTTCTCCTTCAAAAGGAGTGGAACAAGCCTGTTAGAAATGTGCTTCATGTTCCTTGCTTAAATGTGTACTTAAGTTCTTGCACGTACATTTGGCTTGAGCTTATGCTATGTGTCTCTTGTCTGATTATGTGCGAGAAGCCAAAAATAGCACACTGCTGCAGCCTCTGTGCAAAGCAGCACCTGCATCAAGTCATAAGCCTGGAGAAGAAGTTTTGCAAAATTGCTTTCAGAAACTTGGCTTCTAAACTGGTCATATTACTGCTCAGAGCTCTAGGACTCATTGGAAACCTTTTATTTGTTACAGAGAACATTTATTAAGAACATCTACTTGAGTGGATTCAGATGATTAGAACACAAGGACCCCTTGGCCTTTCACACCAAAAAATTCTTTCCCTTTGGAGTTCATATTTTCCTTCATATGCTTCCCTTCATACCATAGTTACAGAGTTGATATTTCCCTTAACTGTAGTTTTACTTGGATAAAGAGCTTGTTCCTTCTTTCTGTACAAAGATCTAAGTTATAAGGGTGTAATTCTGGTCAGAATAATAACCTTTTGCTTTAAAAGTATAACCAAGTGTGTACTTGTTGAAAACAAGTCATTAACTTCTATTTTTCTGCAAGAGCCATTGGGAAATTCTCCAGCTTCCTGGGAAGGACTGGTGGGGTTTTTCTTTTTCTTTCTTTCTTTCTTTCCTTTTTTTTTTTTTTTTTTTTTTTTTTAAACTGGGAGAGGTTTCCCACCTTCCTTACTGCATCGAGCTAACCTGTTCTGACCTGCTTTAGAAACTTGGGCCAGACTTGAAAAGACACCAGCTCGAGTCATATAAAGGCTGGGCATACCTTGTCAGGTCTTGATATAATTGTGGAGCTGAATCACCTTTGTCCCTTCCTAGTGCATGAACAGATTTATTTCCTTTTTAATTCCAGTGAAAGCAACAGATACCAAGCATTATAATTCATTTCTAGTAAATCAGATGGATGGTATGAGGTTCAAATTCCTATTCTGGTTTAAAAATATATATGTATATATATTTCATTATATGTATAATATATATATATATATGTATAATTATTGCAATTTAATCATCATCCAAATTATCTTAATTTTCACATGGCCACTTTCTTGAATTACTGAATTTTTGAGCAACACCACTAATAGTAACAATGAATGATGTTGTACATCCCACTTGTTAAAAAAATTGACTTAGGGATTTAGGTGAGATGAGTAAAGGTGGAGCAGAGCTTCTGGAATTCAAACATGTATTGGAAACAGAGAATCTGTATTTTAACATAATACATAGAATCAAATTTCTCCCCAAAGTAGTAGGTGCTGGACATAGTATAAAAGCATGTTCAGTCTTTGAGAAAATTATTCTTAACATAAATGGGAACTTTGCACTGCTCTGTAGTGGTATCTGCTGCTGTATGAAGCTCTGAGTTGGACGTTTAGTTGTTTGTTAAGGGAAAACAGAATAAAGGGATTATTTAAGGTGTTCTCAGGAAAGGAAGTTGTTGGCTGTACTGAGACTCTAAAATGAAATCCCACTGCTGCACATAATCTTATTTTTGACCTTGTAGAAAGTTGTATTCATATTCCTTGCCCAAAATTTAACCCATGTTCCTTTTTCTCTCTAAAGTTTTTAATCCTTTTGTAAAGGAGATTTTCTAATTGTGGCATTTCTATTATTTAATTGGAAAGAGAAGGAACTAGAATCTTTACTTTTATTATATGTATACCTACAGTAGTCTTGAGCTTGTTTATAAGGCATGAAATTACTTGTATTTTGCTGAAATAAATGGCCAAAGCACAACCAGCAGTATGTCTGGAATGTTATTTACTTGGTCCATTTCTGCATTTTTTCTTTGTAGCACTGTACACATGCCACAGTTAGGGGTCATTTACTTACCACTGACCAAAGTGGTGCCCCCAAAGCTGCAGTTATTCTTCTCAGTAGGGGTTTGTAATAAAAGGCTCATCATGTTCTGCAGCTTCTGTGCTCACTCTTCCCTTCTCTCTCCTTCACTTCTCTCAATTGGAATTGCTTTTGGCTAAGATTTCTAGAACTGCATTTTTTTTCTTGATGTGTTCTTTGTGACTTGATTCCTCTATTGGTACTTACATTTCAATCATTTGGCATTGCAAGAAATAATGTAAGAAATCAACTTGTTTTGCTGGATTATATTTACTATTACTATTACTATTATTATTCTACAAGGAGATGGTTACTGAGTATGTTTTTCTACTTAAGTGTGTGTCATATTTTACGTTCTCAGTTCCAGATACTCAAACAGTTGCAAGAAAACTGTGGGTGTTACAACATTTCCAGCGGAAGGGTAGGGTGGGTGGGGATGCTCTATGGAACGCTCACGAATAATATTTGACTCTTGGAAATGTCTTAAGGCCATGCGCTCCCCTCCCACGCTCGGAAAGCTAGACTTAATTTTAAAGACCTGTGGTCTTGAAGGTATTACCATTGTTCTTTATTTCCTTTCTAACTGGCTGGAACTGAGAAAACAGTCGAAAAGGAGATTATGGATGCCTAGGGTTAGTGCAGGAATACTCTGCAGATGGTGTTGGTGGTTTGTGTCCTTGCAGGTCCCATTAGTGGCACCATGCCCCTTTAATCCCTCCTATGTTAGTCATAGAGGTCTTAGTTCTCCTACTCTTTTTTTTCCCAGGCGTAAAATTATGTAACTTTTAAGACATTAACATCTACAACATCTGTAAGCATAACAGAAACTGCCTTACAGCAGAACAAGAGCTGGGAACTGCAGAAACTTGCAGTTCAGTGTGTTTTCCATAGCAGGGCAAGTATGCATAGCAGGTTTTTTGTCCCAGATTTCTTCTTTTAGTACTTGACTGCAAAGCAGAGTTGATACAGATTGTGTTGTTTTCTCCTGTAGTGAAAATGAGACATTTAGTGGGTATCTAAGCCTTCTTTTCACTTCTGTGAAGGGTGCTCTCCTTCCACTGCATTTGTGCAAACCATCACCCCTTATCATGAGTTGGTATCTTTTAAACTTGTTTTAATTTGTAATGAGCACATGAGCTCTACTATACATGGCTCTTGTTCTTCTGGGTAGTGATTTTTTTTCTTTATAAAATGTTTCTGCTTTATTTATTTCCAGCTTTGATCATTTAACTGATAAATACGTACTACCCATATTCACACCTGCTCATCTTTTATTATTGTGGCTTATGTATAAATGCTTCTGTTGAAATAAATCAGTCTTGTAATTTGAAAAATATAAAACTTTGGTTTAAGTTACTTTCTAAAGGCAATAGCTGTTTGACAGTTGAATACAAAACAAGTGCTTGGCAAAATTTTAATTTAATTATCTGCCAACATATGATAAAGCACAACCCGACTCCTAAAAATGCCTGAACTATAAACCATTTGTCATGACCTAGCATGCATATAGTAATAACAGGCTGACAAGGCTAATAAAGCCTATATATTATTATGGTCATAGAATGTGCGTTACAACAGGTCGATAATGTATTTTGTCCTTCATTCCCACTGTACAGCCCACACATCATCTTCCTGTCACAGAGTGTATTACCTGGGGGGCGCCATCTCTGTGGAACACGTCTGTGCCATGAAATTGCTCATGCTTGGTTTGGACTGGCCATTGGGGCTCGTGATTGGACTGAAGAGTGGATAAGTGAAGGATTTGCCACTTTCTTAGAAGATGTATTTTGGGCTAGGGCACAACAGGTAAGGTGATGATGTGTCACTTCTCAACTGAATCATGTGGAAACCAAAATTATATATATATATATATAATATTATACTATATATTATATATACAACATGCATAATATATTATAATACTTAAAATATATATAATAATAATATATTATATATATATTTATTTATATCTAATATATATCTAATATATATATTAGATATAAATAAAACCTCGTGTTATGAGACTAAGTTTTTTAAAAAAATATTGGAATTTGCATGCTAATTTGTTTTTTAATTCTTTCTCTCCACAATGAACACTGATCTTTACAGAGGTAAAGGTTAGTGCAAATAGGAATGGAAACATCTGCTTGTCAATGATTACTTTCCCACAAATACATGACTTAAATTATACTGTTCAGCTATCAAACAGGTGCTCTGCATTCCCTCCACTTACATTGTGTTCCTGAAAGTGGAGTACTCAGCAGCGTCTTACTGAATATCGTAATATTTCAGTTACCTGATGTAAATGGTTTGCTTTTGCCCCGTGTATAGCCAAATGGCAAGCCTTAAAACAAAATGAATTACAGTGCCAACGCTTATACTTTTTTATGTCTTACAGTGTCTAGCAAGAGCTACCATCTTGTCAGAGGCTTAGAAATCATTGCCCTTCTTAAAGTGAAAAGCTCATAAATTGCATGTCACCTAGTAAAGCGGTTTTCTGATTCGACTCTTATTTTTGTCATACCTCTGCTATTTCAAGCATTTCGTGTGTTCGTGATTTCTTCTTGTGCTGGTGTCAGTTAGGCTCTGACTGCTGTTAGAGTTTGCAGAGCTCCATCTGTGGAAGAGCAGGTGGGACTGGGATCTGACATCGCGAGCTCTTCTGAGCCTCCGTTTTATTACGTATCAGGCATATTTATAGCACTGAACAAAAGAGAATTCCTTCTCACTTACCATGCTTCTGCAATGAGAAAGAGGTGAAGGCTATCCAAACACACTTCGCTTTTCCATTCTGGTCCTAAAAATTCGTTTCTGCTCTTGCATTGAGCATCACTCCTCTACTGTGGGCTGCCCATATTAATCCTGTATTAATCCTGTTACACTTGTGTGAGTCACTGGAAAGCATTTTCATTGTAGTAGGCATCCTTCCATATAGCTGAATAGAAAGCAGTGAGCAGCAAAGCAGGGTGATTATTCACAGTTAATTTAAAAGATCAGAAAACCTTTCTTTTTTTTTTTTTTTCTTTTTATAATTATTGAGTAGTTTTGGTGCTGTGTAATCCTAGAATTGGAGGATTATCGGTGAATTCTCTGCTGCCTGACAATAATTCCAGTTGTGACTGAATACTCGTGTAATGCAGGAGAACATGAGCTGCTTTTAGCTTCTCCCATTTCCTGTCCTTTTTTGTAACAAAAAGTGTAAATTAGTTGTTGATTTGTAAGCTGACAATCTAGCATTTATTTCATAAGCATGCATCTCTTGATGCTGTGTTAATGTGGGAAAATGCAACAGGGAGCTTTCACCAGGGTGGCAGAAGTAGTAGGGAAGAAGGGTGAAGTCAGGACATAGAGCAACTCTTTGCTTTCAAGGCTGGGAAAAGTAAAGATGCAATCAGAACCGATAAGCGAGGTATCTGTACAGTATGTTCAGTTCACCTGCAGCCAGTCACTAAAGGGAAAGCAACATGCCTTGCTCTATCCTCAGACAGAAATATTTAACCAACTATTGATTTGATGCACCCAGTGAGGCTTCTGTTTTTCAAAGTGCTGCTGTTAACTCTTAGAGCATGAGGTGTGACTATATTTTTTAACACGGGTGTTTATACTATTTCTTGCATTGCCTGCGCATTAAAGGAAAACAAAACGTGTTTCTCTCTGAAAATTATTATTGCCTCTTGTGAAACGGCAATCAATGATCTGTGTTTTTCGTACACTAAGCAGCTGTCACATGATGAAGAAAAAGCACAGCAGGAATTGAAAGCTTTACTTCGCTGGCGACGGCTCAGAGATGAGGTGCAGAATTCTGAAGAAGAGCTGCAAGTTTTAAGGTAAAGCTACAGCACTGTAATCTTCGCTTTTGCATGTTCTCCCCCTCCCTCTCCACCCCAATCCCGTTTTCTAACATTTTCTCCCTTCAGAGGATATACATCCAAATCTTCTAATTAAATTACTGCATTTCCTTATTTCCTTCTGAAGAAAAAAGAGAAGTCAACTTAAATTGAGTAGGTTATTCATCTTCTATATAATGCAATTGCTTTTCTGTTTGTTATAGAAAGCTTTCCAAAAGGATAGGATTTAGCCTGATATTAAATGTCTCTAAGCAGTTTACAAGAGCCTCTATTCGGGGGAGGGAAGAAATAAAAGAGACCATTTCCTGAACAAAGTTCACTGTTTGAAGCTGTAACAGATTCATATTGTGTGGTTGAAGACAAGCACATACAAGAGTGTAGCACCTAACTGCCAAGGTGAATGAAGCTTTAAAAAACAAAGGAAAATGCATAATAAACAGTATAAATCTGCTTTCTCTTTGGAAATGACTAATGCTATTTAAACAAGATTTTGGTCTTTCGGTACCAGATGCTAAGCTGAAGGCTTCTTCTCACGTTGCTGAAGATATTAGATCATAAAAGGATTCCTGCTTTGCTAATGATTTAATCATCTGGGCTGTTCTGATTGGTGTCTTGGGAGTTTGCTGTAGTCTTTTATCTTGAAGTGTCTAGAGTGGCTGCCTAACATCTCCACTGATTGTCTCTCCACAGTCTTTGACCAGGAAAATCACATTTACTAATCTGAACTCAATTTAGCCATACATTGACCAAATCACAGAGGTAAATCAAGAGATTATGTAGTCTCCTATCCTCACATACAGGCAATATATACAGATAATCATAAGCGGGTATTATCCAACAGGTTCTTAGGGACCTCCGAATGAGAAGTTTACACAGCAAAGCTGTTTTGGTGCTAAAAGTTAAGAATTGTTTACTAATACTAATTTTAAATCTTGATCATTTCACACTATGTAGATTTCGTCTTTTTCTTCACAAACTGGAACTGAAAAACAAACTGGCCCCCATATTTTTATAATAATCTTCTGCATGTTTTTGGAAGACTGAAGCCATTTCTTTCATTTTAAGGTCTTCCCTTCTTTTTTGCTTTTCCATTCAGACCTAAAAGCCTTTTGTATTTGGGCACTGGACACTGTTTGGCAACACAGAAATTCCACTCAGTGGCCTCATGCCATCTGAAAACAAGTAACCAACTTTGCATAACTGTAGCCTTTCATTGATCTGCTCTAATTCATGCTTATTAATGAATTGTGTATCATACTTGTAAGCAGAGTCAGTGAGCAATTTGATGATAGCTATAAATTCAAAAGTCAGCCTTATCACTAGCTACCATACAGCTGCTAGAAATGTAACTATTGACGGACGGTCTGTTTTTTATTGCTTTATTTGCTTTAAAATAAATTATTTTTATGAACATTGGTTCTTGTGATATGACACTTATCTGGATGTATGTTTTCCATTTTCAACATCATGGAATCACGTTTATCTTCTTTTGTGTTAATTATGTAGTTGTTACTTTTAATAAAATGTATATGTGTTGTAAATTTTTTAAATTATTTTTCTAAGGGTCAAGATATGAGTTTGAAATTCAGGAAGTAACTATTTATCTAGGAGGTCCAGGAAGGTGATTCTTGCCCTCTAACCCACTCTCATGAGACCCCACCTGGAGCACTGCATTCAGCTCTGGGACCCCCAGCATGAGAAGGACATGGACTTATTAAAGCAGATCCAGAGGAGGGTCAAGAGGATGATCAGAGGGCTGGAGCACCTCTCCTGTGAAAACAGGTTGAGGGAGTTGGGGAAGTTCAGTTTGGAGCAGAGAAGGCTCTGAGGTGACCTTGTAGCAGCCTTCCACTATCCAAAGGGGGCCTACAGGAGAGATGGGGAGGGACTCTTTGACATGGGTTACAGTGATAGGGCAAGGAGTAATGTTTTTTAACTAAAAAAATGGAAATTTAGATTAGATATTAGGAAGAAATTCTTTGCTATGAGGTGAGGCAGTGGAACAGGTTGCCCAGTGAAGCTGTGGATGCCCCATCCTTGGAGGTGTTCAAAGCCAGGCTGGATGGGGCTTTCGTGGTCTAGTGGAAGGTGTCCCTGCCCACAGCAGGGGAGCAGAACTGGATGATTGTTAAAGGTCCCTTCCAATCCAAACTATTCTATGATTCTGTGATCTTGAATTTGAAACTTAAGTTTTCAATTGACTTACACAATTAGTAGTCAAAAGTCTCTGTAATAAGCATGCTGCTTACGTTTTACATAGTGGTGGTATTCTCAATCCTAATACAAAAGAATGACAAATCATTTCTTTTCTGAAAAGTATGCCACAACTATGCACTTTAGGAGAGGATCATATTGCCAGTTTGGGATTCTGTCAGTTCCTGCCTAATTTCGTTAGTTTCCTGTGGTTGCATTTAAGGACTTTCCTCTGTTTTCAATTCAGATATAAATATTTTTACTGTTTTTGTAGCATGGACTTGAATATATTTGCTCTTTACATATTTACTGTTTTTTTTTTTCACCTGAAAATATATGTGTGCTTTCCAATATTGGTCTATAAGAGAGAAAATTCAGAGTATTTGAATTGCATGAGGTTTTGAATGTGTATTGAGGCTTGTGCTGGTTCAGGCTTGTGATTTTATGAAAGGATATTAAAGTAAATGATAGCTGTCCCTTCCTGCCGATTCTGTCAGGAATACAGAAACCAGCCAGCACACTTCCTTAGCATAAGCTTATTCTTCACCTGTTTCTTTTGTTCCCTGCTAGCTGTATGATTTTCTGTGCTTTCTTCTGACAGCAGGAAAACCTTGCTCAAAATTTGACAGTTGATCATATTAACTCTTGATCAAGGAAATGAATAGCTATTCACATGAGGTGAAAGCCACTCAGCAAACTGATCATCAGCTTATTATGATGATCATCAGCTTATGACGGTGATTATTATTCTTATTATGAATATTTGATAATACGTTATAGTAGCATCTTGGATGCTAGCTGTTAAAAAACTGAAGCTAGTTGTGAAAGAAATAGGTAAGTGTCTTTTCAGTAGGCAGCAGGTCTGAAAGGCTGCACCAGCATATCTTAGTATTGAAGAAATAGATTATGACATTGAAATGTAGTGCTCATATCATAAAGACATAATATCAGACAAAATCATGTGTTTTCTCACAGAGTTTGAAGGAAGCCTGAATGAAAAAAGCACCTGCAAAGTATGTCTTGGCACTCATTTTAGTGGTCAGCATCAATGACAACACTGTCATCTTATTTGAAAACAAGGAAGACTTGAGTAGTCCATTCCATTCAGTGACACCAAACACTTGTGTTGAGATTGTTTCTTGTCCTGGTCCTTGTGACTGAACTTCAGCTTGAGATCTTTAATGAAGACAAACCAGTGTTGACATCTAATTCTGTATTTGTCTCTGAGTTCCACTTGAGTCAAGTCAGTGACCTTACCTGTTTTCCTCCTGAAACAATGCTCTGTGCCTCCTCTATAGGTGTTTTATTTTATCAATAATCTGATAGGAAATGTGCCTTTTAGACTGTCTCTCATAGTCTCTGCATACCTTTTCATGTTCACATCAGACCATGTAATTACCATCCAAGTGATTTGTAATTTTACTTTGTATAATGTAGTTTTCTGCCTGGCAGGCAAAAGCAGCATCTTTTGCTTCATTAGAAATACTGCCAGTATCAAAAATCTGCCAGGTAGCAGATTGAATAGCTTGAATCAGCTTGCCTTAGTCATTATGCCTAGCTGAATCTAGTAGGTTAGATGCCAGGTTTTGTAGGTCAGTGTAACAAACTTTCAGTCTCCGTACCTTCAATGTGTTGTAAATATACTCAGTGTTGCTTTAAATTAGTGTGCTGAAGTACTGACACTACAGAACAGGGTGCCTTTCTGAATATTCACACACTTCTGCAGACATCGTCTAGGGTATATATATATATATCCTTGGCAACAGGAATTTCCTGAGTTGCAACATCCAGAAGAGAGATGGCTTTCTAGTCACCTACTAGGATTTACACAGACACAAAGTTGGAAGAGAAAAGAAAGAATCACAGAATAGTAGAATATCCCAAGTTAGATGGGACCCACAAGGATCATTAAGTCCAGCTCCTGGCTCCATACAGGACCACCCAAAAATCAGAGAGCATTGTCCAAACACTTCTTGAACTCTGGCAGGTTTGGTGCTGTGACCACTTCCCTCAGGATGCTGTTGCTTAATTTAGAATAACTCTGATGATGGGAGTTACATCAGTTTAGTGTGAATCCTGTAGCCTGTGCTCAAGCTCTGGTTTTCAAAATCTATACACTGGACTATTTATTATGAGAGAAGCAAGAAGCATTTTGGCTGTCTTTCTGTATATGCAGTGAAAAATGAAAAGTTGCATATGAAATTCCAGCAGGCCTTACATTCAGGAGAGTGATCCAAATGGCAGATAGGTGCATCTCCTCTCCTCTGCAGTGGGTCTGCAATGGTTATATTGTCTTGAAGAGCTGGAGTTACCGTGGGATAAGATGTCAGTTATTCGTCTCCATCCTTCAATGTTGAAAGAAAATCTCCCTTGATAGAAAACAAAAAATATTGCATTGTAAAGGACTGTGTTAGGAGCAATGAAAAAAATGAAGCTGCATTTACTTTTTTATTTCAACCAGTTAACTTTTATCTGTGACTTTAATGTGTGTAGGGAATTTGATGTGTACAGGTTCTGAACAAAGCACTTGAAGAGAAAAAATGGCTTAGCACTCTTTCTTATTACTGGGAAAACTGCAGTAAGAAACTATTACACAGACACAAAAAAGGAAGAATGTTTTTCTCAAAGCAGACGTGGCCCTGAAAGAAATTTGATCACTGGAACTGGCTCATGAGAAGTGTGTGGACGATGTGGTTTGAAGAAGCCTGAACTGCTGTGGCCTGTGTTGCCCCTGTTCTATTGAACTGCGGGAAAATATGTTTGGTTTCTGAGGCTGGCCCTTCAAAATCCACAAGAAGACTTGGAGGTGTTGTTTTCAGTCACGGGGTAGGCTGCAAAGACAGGCATCTATTCTCAAACCCCTGTTAGCTGGCATGTTTTCTGGATGGAAGAAGCAATGTATTCATAGCTTCTCTTTAATCTTAGTTTATGCTTCTAAGAGTCTAGGAGCCCTCAAAACTTTACTAGCGTAAACTTCTGGCACACCAGACAATATATTGCATTTTAAAATCAGACAGTGAAGAAGTAGGTTTGTTCTATACTTGTTTGAAAACCCCAAATGTGTGTGTGTGTGTTTGTAAGGCCTCCTCTTTTAAAATTTCAAAGCTTTTCATTCAACACCAAACAGCAAAATGAAAGCCAGAACACGGTTTCTTCTGCACTGTATTACATACAAATGAAAAAGCTTATTTTTGCAAGTATAGCTGTTTAAGCTGTTAAGCCAACATTCAGGAAGAAGAAGAGAATCTGTAGTTGAAAATAATTATTGCAATATCCTTCCTTCCCTTCCCTTTTGTTCAAAACATATTTTATATTTTTTTCTTTGTTCATACTTTCCCTGTACACTGTAGGATGGCATGCAACCTGATGTCATGCTGGCAGTGAAGAGAGTATACCAGCTTGGTGATGGCCTTCATTTTTACCCCAGCTGAACTTCTCACGAGTTACTATGACGTTCACAGTGCTTCAACTATAAGAACATGTGGTGTATGAGTTATTTCTTTACTTACTTATCCAAGACTTCATTAGCCTGTTACCATTTTAGGCCTAACAAGGAGAGCACAGGAGAAGTGAGTGAGTCTGGTGCCTCCATTGTCAAGCATGGTCTTAAAGCAGAAAAAATCTTCATGCAGGTTCACTATTTGAAGGTGAGTGTTGTAAGCTGATTTTTATTGAGATTGCTTTACTAATATTACAAAGACTTTTTTCTTTCTAGATATCAGCAAATTCATGTCATCCTATTTGTTTCTGGCTTAATTTCTTGCAGGGTTACTTCCTTTTGCGGTCTCTGGCAAGGAGAATAGGAGGGGCTTCATATCTTGCATCTTTACGAAAATTTGTCAATAAGTTCCATGGACAGCTTGTCCTTTCTCAGGTACTGTGTTTAGGGTTGCTACTCACTTTTTGAAAAAACAAATGACCTACATTTTCTGCTTGACTGTCTAAATGACTGTTACTGGTTGTGGTGGAAAGACAAAGGAAATTGTTGCTTATCAATATTGATGAAATTTCTACCTACTAGAAGGCAATACCTTTTTTCAGGGTGATCCATAAATCTGATACCCTGATAGTATCAGATAATATAAGTAATTGACTTTTTTTTTTTTAAACCATCAGCTTGATACTTGGGAAGGTCATGTTCATATGTTCATAGGTACTGATGTTCTCAAGCACAGGACATCTACTCTCCCGTATTTGTCTCCTGTACTCTTTTAGCTTCTGGACTTTGGCTGTGATCATTCAGTCTTTTACCAGATAACTCTGTTTCTGACAGAGAAGAAACACAGAGTAGGAATGTAACTGAAAACCTCTATAAATAGTAACCGTGTGCATGTTATTTTCTGACTTTATTTCCTTCCTCTCTGCATGCAGCTTCATTCAATTCTTTTATTTTCACAGTAGTTCTTATGAGGACTGCATCCTTCCCACAAAATCTGTGTCCCCATCACTGTATGGCATTGCACCCACTGTTATTACAGTCTTGTCACAGCATCTTTAAAGGTTTCCTCATCATGCTCCTTTCTCCCACGCTTTCTAAAACAGTATTCTTTTCTTTTATTACCAAAGCATAAATCCACAAGGGATATTTAAGATACACTGCTTCTTTCTTTCAATAGAGTTTTTCTGACAGTGACAACATGCAGTGGCAGCCTATTCTTAAGAACAATTATTCTCCTAGAATAGGATTCTCCTAGAATAGGATTTCTTCCTGGATTGGTAAAGGCAAGATTTAAAAAAAATAACATCGGATTAGGAATCAGAATCTGCCATCTCAAAGTCCAGGTGCGTATATTAATCACTTGAACTACAGACTTAGCTTGTTCTCTCTCTGACATAAATGGTATGTAATTATGTCATACAACGTAGAACAGCTTTAAAAGGAAAGATTGAGCAAGACATACAACCGAATATTGTAGCATCAGTTAGGTAGAAAACCTATCTGGGGTTTTACATAGAAATTAATCTCCCCCAGGCCTTTCTGAAAGAGTCCTGTAACCCATGCTGTAGCATTAAAAGAGAGATGGTCTTGTCTTCCAGTGTTTTGTTTTGAGAAAGGAGAGGAGGAATAGCTCTCCAAACCCAAAGTTGTAGGAATCGTGTCATTGGTGATGAAGTCAGCACAGCAGCTTGTTGCTTCGGTAATGCTGCGAGCACAACCATTCGTGGGGTGTGTGAACCAGTTCACTAAATTCAATGCAGCTAAAAATGGGACTGGAACAAAAGCCACAACGTGACAAATAGTTGGCATAACTCTAAGAGCAATATGATGAGAGTGGGGAGCAGGGAAAAAGAGAACAGGAGCGCCATGAATGAATTTCTGAAACCAGTCAATATTACAAATAAATGTCTCCTTGCAACACAGAGAAAGAGGTCTCTGATCTTGAGTGAATGGAGTCTAGGACATTCCTATCTCTTCTAGGGTAGTAATTCCTTGCTCAGTGTGCCTGGTATTTTGGTTCTCACTCTGAAGGGGCCATCCGTGCCTATGTATCTTTAAAAATAACTCGCTGACCTGTGGATTCTTTCATATGCCAAGTCACACAAAATGTAGGCATAGAAGCTCTACTGCTATATCTCTGCCCCGTGGAGGAACATTTGCAGTGCTGAGGGTGTTAATGTTTCCACTGCTGCAGCTGTTTCCTGTACCATGTTACCCAGACCAGTTGTGCTTGGCATAGAGTGGAAAATGCTAGTGACTCTACTAGCCTTGTCCCCATTATGGTGTCTGAAATCATAAATATGAGCTTCAGCTATTACACAGTTGAAAACTTTTGGAAAATTACAGAAATCATGAAACTGCCAAAAGCCAGAGGCAGCCTAGTGTTTTATTCTGGTTGTATTCTGGTGCTGGGATTTTTGTGAGAAAAAGCTATCTTGTTGCTCTTAGATCAGTCTCCTGGTTGACATGAGATGAGTTGTGTCAGCAGGCTGTAAATGCTGCAAAACATCCCAGCACAATATGCTATTAGTCATGGTAGCTAGGTTGCATTGCAATGGAACTAACTATCAACTAGAGAGTTCTCCTTCTGCCCAGCACTCTGCTAAGAAATGTCAATATAAAGTTTATCTAAGTCTAGTCTCATAAACTAAGATACTATATGCTGCTTCCACACTGAGAAACCACCATCTGGAGCTGTTGGATAGAAACCTTCTCATCTGGGGCTGTTGGATAGAAACTTTTTTTTTTTTTTTCAAGCTTTTATTTCAGGTTTCTTAGGCTACTTTTTATTTGAATGTGTGCAATATGTGCGTAGCTATGTATGTAGGTCAGAAACAGATGCTTTCCATCATTTGAAGGGATTTATTTGGTGAAGAAGTGTAACTTTTACTGTGTACAATACTACCAAAGTATACTGGTTGCGTACAGTAAATATTCTTAGCAAGAGCCTTGAATGTTCCTAGATGCCTGTTCATGAGTCAGGTATAAAGAGGTCACAAGGCCTTGGTAATGCTTTTTGTGCCTTTACCTTGTTTCGTAGCAGCCCAAATCCAGTCCCTACTGAAGCTAATTGGAAGAGTCAATCTACAGCATCGGCAAGTGTTAGAGCAGGGCAAGACTGAATTTTGACATCATCCTGTTTTTCGGTCACTATGGTAAAAAACACAAACGAGATAGATCTAGATTCAACTGCAAATGTATTTACTTTCTCTGTAAGAAATATTAAAGATTATATTTATGTTGGTATCTGGTATAGGGAGATAAACAATCACAGCAGGAACTGAATGCAGAAGCAATGAAGTCAAGTTAGTACAAAGTTTATTATTCAAGTTCCTTCTTGAACAAACATGCTGTCGGGGTTTAAATGAATAAAAGATTTAAAATAAATAGAGGTGTGAGTGGCAAGTTTAAATGTCAGAGTGTTGTACCTTCACCTTGTCCAAAGTAATTGTAAAGGTTCCCAGCTTTAGGAATTGTGGGAAAGAAAGAAAGTAAAAACAGTGAAAATAATTGCCCACATTCTGAATACCAGTCTTGTTTTCAGTGGTGTTTGTAGTATTTTTCCTAGATGAGAACTGCAGGTGCAAGGAAATGACTTCAGATGTGAAACATTAATCAGTTTTCTTTTTTCCTTCATTTCGATTACATGCTCAGTATGTTCTTAATAGTAGTTTTTGTTTATTTTAGTTGAGTTATCAACAGACAAGTAAAACAAGTCTGGAATCTTTGAGAAGGATTTAAAAAAATAAAATCTTCCATTTTCCTTTCTCTGGGAGTATTCATTTAGTAGCTGCTTTGAAAGAACTTTTTAAAATAATGAATGTAGTGTTCCCTGACTATAAATAAATAGAAAGGAGGGCAAGCTGCTGATATTCTTAATGCAGTTAAAGATGTTGTTCAGTCTGATATTGAAACAAGAACACCTTGGGAACTGAATTGTTTGCAGGCTTTCATTTTCATGTAGTTCTATCTGCTGTAATAATAGCCTATGGTCTGAAGTGTTCACCCCGTCTGACAGAGCTACAATTTGCTCTTGTAAAATGACAGTTAAAAAGACAGCACTGCAAAAAATCTTAATTTATGTTATACTTGAGAATAGTAAAGACAGATGTATGGATCCAGGCTCAGTGTGTATACCTTCATCAACATGTTCCTGCACACCCGTTTACACATGTAAATATCATTATAATCCTGTTACACCAAAAATTGGTGTCTGCACAGACAAATAGCCATACAACTGTCTATTTGCTTTAACTAGAACTGGGAGCCTGAGCATGCAGTCTGTGTGTAATTTGATGTTTCAACCCCTAGAACATTTACATAATTCTTTTAGTTAAACTTTTATCTTTGCAGTTTGGCTTCAGCTGTTCCATGCTTGCTGACCTGTAAGCCCGAGTGAACAACTGTTAACATTTGTGGGCTTGATGTGGATTTTAAGTCTTAACAAAGATAAGGAAATAAAATCACTTTACAAGCTCAGACATTTTAACTTCAGATTGACTGTGTTTAAATTGTTAATTTATATGGCAGCTGATTAATTTATGAATCAGTTAGTTGCACTGCACATTTTGACAATATATTTCGTTAATACATAAAATCTATTTAGCTTTAGGCTATATCTTCATTTGAGGTACAAGCATCTTGAAAGAAGGAATCTGTGAGGTATTGCTCTTGAAGTGTCAGTATGACTGGGTTAAAAAAAATGCGTAACATAGTGCAATGCTTTATTTGGTGAGAAAACATCCTATTTTTTCTGAAATACTGTTTCCATAATTAATAAACTTTGTATTTTAAAGGATAAAGAGATCATAATGAAGTAGGGATACTGAAGCTGGAGAACATAGCAGAGAGGAGTGAAACTAAGAGGAGCTCACAAGTTTTATAATCATGTCTAATGCGGATGAGAGAAGAAAAAGTGTGCTAATGTGTCACACATGTGATGTCCAACAAAATGTATATAAAACAATTATAAATATATAAAAAATATTTATATAAAGATATATTTATATAAAATGTATATAAAAATCCAAGCATATTTTTGTACCTCTTGTCTCAAGCGTGAAGATCTTAAAAGGAGCGCTAAGTTTTACAAGCAGAATTGTTTTCTGTCAGGGAAAAGATCTGTATGTCTGAAAATGCCATGACCCTTTATGATACAGTACACAAGTTCTTCCCATTGTTGCTGAACTTACTAAGTCTCAAACTTCGGTCACCTGCTGTGGAATATCTTTTTACATTTCCGTTTCAGCTGTAGTAGTCTCTCACCTCTGCTGACCTAAAGTTTTTGTATTTGCTTAGCTTCCATTTAGCATCCTTCAAGCTTAAAACTGCTTGATAGTTTGTTAAGCAATATCATTTTTACTGGAAAAAAAATCTTTAATTGTGATCAGAGCAAACTGGCAAGGGAGCATTTCAAAAGTCGTGCCTGCTGAATCACAGCTCCAGCTTTTGCTTGATTTAGGTGGATGTAATTTAAATAAACAATCAAATACATCTTACATATGATTTTCTGCTGGATAGTCTTAAACAGACGTTGAAAGATTAAGAGCTGTAGGTAGAACTGTTGATATATAACATTTAATTCTTCATCTTTTCCATTGACATATATATATGTTCTTAATGTTTATACATGATAAATAGAAGGAATCTGTGTTTATTTCAGTATTTTAGGCAGTGGTATATTCAGTATTCTTAGTGGACAGTGAGAATTTGTGTAACTTCTGAAGAAATGGAAACATTTTTAATGAGTTTGAGACAGCTTAGGCTCTAGAGTCAAAGTGTTAGCAGAAAGCGTGTACAAGCTTGGATTTCTCTACTTCCCTTTCTGGGCTTTACATTGAACTTTTGCATCAGTAAGACAAGGAGGAATGCCAAAACTTTGTTCACTGAGTTAAGTAAAAATCAGCATACTTTTTCCAATTTATCTGATCCCCAAATGAGCTTGTGTTTGCTCTAAGGTGTCTTGACACGACCCCTGTACTACAAAGATGGTAAAGTCAATAGGAGAAATGTGGAGGAAAGGACTTCAAGAGGCTGATACCACCTTAAATAGCCACAATATCTAGATTTGCGCTTTTGGTTAAGAGGATTACTTACTTTAATATTTAGTGTTCTGTATATAATATCAACATGTGTGATCAGAGATGGGTAGCTGTGTGGTGCTTCAAAACAGTTCATGGTGAAAACATGCTGGTTAATTGCTCAGTACGAGAACTGCATTAATCATATAGCATCTTTAGTTATGGAATTAAAGGTCTTCTAAATTTGTATCTGCCTTGTTAGTGCTTCAGGTAGCTTTCATGCCCAGTGTTCTCAAAGTCATATCCCTTGACCTTCTTCATTGGGTCTCCACTCTTATTTGCCTTTGACCCAGACGTGCTATGTGCGTTAATGGTGCAAGGAAACCTCCTTGATCTCAGTGCACAGTGTGTATCCAGATTCGATCTGGTCAGCAGCAGCCCATAGCTGCAGTTGTGAGCAATAACGTTGGCTTCTGTCTGGAATATGGGAATACAATATGGTCTTTAGGGAATTAGCAAATCCTTTGTGAACATGTGTGAACTCATTTTTTCAAAGGCTTTTTCAGTTTAGCCAAAGAAAATTTCACAAACTTCAGAATAACAGTTTCTGTATATGGGGAAAAGTTGTTTTCTACCCTCTGGGCTTCCAGCCAAGGAAGAGCAACAGAAGTAGCTAGGGAACTGAAATTATTTAATAATAATAGGATATTATTAAATATTATAAAATAATTGAATAATATGAATGTAAGCCAGTTTGTTAATAATGCAGCACTGCAGCGATGTGATTGCTAACTCCTATTTTCTTTCTGACTTCATTGAATTACTTGTCACAAAGACAAAATGCAAACTGTATTTTGTTTTATGATTGTGACTACCCTGGCCACCCATCCACAAGTCCTGGGGTGCATCAAGCACAGCATCGCTAGTAGGTCAAGGGAGGTGATTGTCCCGCTCTATTCTGCGCTGGTGCGGCCTCACCTCGAGTACTGTGTGCAGTTCTGGGCACCACAGTATAAAAAGGACATGAAACTGTTGGAGAGTGTCCAGAGGAGGGCTACGAAGATGGTGAAAGGCCTGGAGGGGAAGACGTACGAGGAACGGCTGAGGGCACTGAGCCTGTTCAGCCTGGAGAAGAGGAGGCTGAGGGGAGACCTCATCGCAGTCTACAACTTCCTCATAAGGGGGTGTCGAGAGGCAGGAGACCTTTTCTCCATTAACACCAGCGACAGGACCCGTGGGAACGGGGTTAAGCTGAGGCAGGGGAAGTTTAGGCTTGATATCAGGAGGGGGTTCTTCACAGAGAGAGTGGTTGCACACTGGAACAGGCTCCCCAGGGAAGTGGTCACTGCACCGAGCCTGACTGAATTTAAGAAGAGATTGGACTGTGCGCTTAGTCACATGGTCTGAACTTTTGGGTAGACCTGTGCGGTGTCAAGAGTTGGACTTGATAATCCTTAAGGGTCCCTTCCAACTCAGGATATTCTATGATTCTATGATTCTATAAGTCTTTGCTTCAAAGTGTAAGGTCACTAGAACCTCTTAAAGAAATGGCATCAAAGCTTAAAAAGACTGGCATCAAAGCTTAAAAAGACTGTGTCCTCTAAATTTACTATTGAACCCTTCTGAACTGTTTTATCTGGAGAGGAAGACTAAAATAGCCTGAGGATGAAATTTCACTCCAGATGGTTAAAGTTTGACAAAATTATAAGCAACTGAAACTTCAGACCTATAAAGGGATGTGTCAGGCAGACTTGATAATAGGCAAGCATTAAAAGACATGTAAATATGAGGTAAGTGGTAATTCATTTTCCTATTCAGTTTTGAAGCATTGAAATAGAAGCAGTTAAAATAAAACAGAAGAGATTAATCCTTGTTTTAAAAATGTGTAGAGTGATTTCTATTCTTAGCAGGTATCCGGTGAGATGAAGACAGCTTTTATCAAAAAAGGTTATGTTTAATATCAAAGTAAAATACACAAAATATAAAACCACTGTTAATACCAAAGGTATCTTCAAGTATACCATTGGACTGATCATAAAAAAAAAGATGCAGTCCAATCATTTAATGTGGCTGCATTAATGTATACCCAGTCTATACATTAATATATACCCAATCTATACCCAGTGGCAAGGTTGACCACTTCTGTATTACTTTTCAGACACTTAAGTCTTTGAAACATTTCTAATTGCAATCTTTTCTCCATTTTTTATGTTCTTTAATTATATGTGTAAGCTTACTCTCTACCTCCAGGAAAGTTTCCACAAGTTGAACGAGACAGAAGTTCTCTATCGATATACAGAACAATGGTAGAGAACTACAAGTAGTAGTAGGAAGTCACAGAATTTCATGCCTTATCATCAAGTCATCTGTGCACTGTAGTTGGACAGAACCAGTGCTAGGGCAGTTATGGCACTCTTGCCGAAGTGAGCTTCGGCACTCTGTAATTCAACTTTACTCATAAGCAGACTGTGCAGCAGTATAGTCCAGATCTTGATTATAATGTAAAGGAAGAAGACATAACAGTGTTGCTCAGTTGTTTCAGTTGTGCAATCACTCTTCCTTTGGTTCCATAACAACGCCAGAGTCACACAGCAGAACAGCATATTTTGTTGAATGCCATAGCAGTCCATAAATTAAAGTTTTCCGTGTTTCAGAAAACGTTCTTCAAGACCTTAGAAAGCAAGTACTCACAATTAGAAATCAGTCTCTACTCATATAATGCAGTGAGGAACATTATTATGCTATGAAATTTGTCTCCGCAGAAATTCATATTAATAAAGTGGATTGCTTTATGAAATAGTATATAAACAAATAATTCATATTAATAAATCATCTTCTTATGAGGTTATTCAGAAGAGTGCATTGTGTCAAAGCGATTGCCATTAAAACTAGGGTGAATGTCTTGTATAGCACGGGGTGCTGGAGAACCTTTGAGTGATGTCATGTGTAGCTTCTATAAAGAGGGCTGGTTTTTGTGAGGATGACAGTAATACTGTTACTCTGGCCTAGCACTTTCCTTCTAAATTCAAGAAATTCCATCTACCTTCTCTTTGAAGATTTTGGTGTTGGTTCACAGTGACATGAATTTTGTCAGGGAATGAGAAGTAGGTGTTATCTTCTGCTCAGGAATGTGCATAAAAGAAAAGAAAAACAAAGCATGGTCATATAATTAAAGACAATGTGATATCATAAGCACGGTGAAGAGAATGCAAGTGACGCTCTTAACTCTGGTGTTTCTTAGCCTTTCAGTATGTGTAAAAGTATAACTTAACAGCTTTAAATATAGTTTGCATGTGTATTATAGATTAAATAAAAAATGGAACGTAGGATTGTGTTAAAATAGTCAGCAGGCTTTTCAAGCCCATTTTCTATCAATATTGACACTTTTTCCTTGAGTGGGTTGGAAAACTGACAAACATAATGTGTGTTGTATAAATAATTGAGCAGTATAACACCAGAGCAGATACATAAACTTTCTTCTTACTGTTCTGCTGTCTGCAGTCTTTAAAAATCTATCACTCACTAGCAACGTAGATGTGCAGCTATCTCTTCGTAAACATACTAACTGTGGTGCTTTGTTCATTTTCCAGGATTTTCTTTCCATGCTGTTGGAAGATGTACCTGAACAAAAAGAGTAAGTGAAAACCAGGCCAGGAAGGTCAAAGGAAAAAGTAGAAATTTGATCTGTTATAAATGGCTGAGTCTTTAAAATAGGACTATAATCAAAGTTTACAATTTATTAAAGGAATAGAGGTAAGCAAACAGCGCTGGGTGTGCCGGGAGTCTCTGCTCCACCAAGACGCACCCCAGTTACATCAAGCAGTTGATTTTTATGCTCCCAGGCTAATACATATTCATTACTACTTCTAGAAAAAACAGGGTTATTATAATTAGTTTCTGGAATCCAACCCCTCCTTCTGGAGCATGCGTATCAGTCTCTGGGGGTCCCTGCGGGGGTCTCTCGTGCTGAAGGCTCATAGTCTTCCTCCCTCTTGTCCTTCTCCTTTGTCCAACTTGGCTGTATGTCAAAGACTTGTGCAGCGTCCCCCACAAGCTTTGCCTTCTAGTTGTCCTTCAGCTTTCTCCTTCTTCTTAATCTCCTGGCCAGATATCAGAGACTTGCATAGTGTCCCATGCAATAGTCATAGTAGTTAGCAGTTGTTCTGAACCCCCCGCCCCCAGATATCAGAGATTTCAAGGAACAGCTTACAAATACACTTCGCTTCAAGCTCTCTATTGACATGAATTGCTAAAACATTCCTCACAGATCTAAATTTCAGCAGTGCTAGCCATAAATAATAGAATTTCATTTAGTAATATTCTGAATGTTTCTTCCAAGCATATGTGTCTCTCTTTCTCTGTAAATTTTCATTTATATATACACACAACAATACAAGACTTGTGATGTAGCTATCCTGTGCTTCCCCCAATTATTTAACTCGTTGCCTTTAACTTTCATGTTAGGGCAGCACTGAGATCTCGTGTTCACTACGTGATCTGAAGAGCCAGGCACAGCTGCTCAACTTAATTTGTAATCGTCCTGCCAGCTGCTCTTGGAACATGGTGCATGGAATAGAGTGATGGGGCCACAGCTTTGCCCCAGATCTGTGAGAGCAGAGAAGATGGTTGTGTTTTTGTTTTTTCCACAAGCAGTAGTCTGGAACCATACCCTCCCTGTCACACTGTGTGCGAATGGGGAAAAGATGGAAAGCACTAATGGAAACCCAGTGCCACACAAGTTCTTTGAAATCCTCCTGTGTGTGGCTGGCTGAAGACGATACAGCTAGTCTTTAGCAGAATTTTGAATCCATCACTGCTTATTTGTTGTTTTGTTCTGTGCTACCTCAAACTGTGCTGCATATGCACGTTCCTTAAAACTAAACATTGCTTACTTGAAAAACATTAAGCACTCTAATATTGCAATGGAGACTGGACTTTAAAAATAATAATAATAATAAAAAAAATTAGTAGTATGGAATCAAGCCAAGCTTATTCTCAGCTGTGCCAACAGAGGCAAACTAGTGTAGCTAAGAGTAGCATTTGGCTCATGGGAGACTTTTGTAATGAGAACCGTGTTAGAACTGGCAGAGAGCAATCATACAGTGTCAGAACTGGCAGAAAGCAATCATATAACAGTGTGGAAATTTTCTGTAATTATTACCTTTGAGTAGTGCTACAGTATTTTCTGCTTTTTGATACACCAGCCTATATCTAAAAGATTCTCTCTCTTCCAGTATATAAGTCCTTTCATTTTCAGTTACAGGAGTTTTTTCAGTACATTCCCAATAATGAACAGTTCCAAAATACAGACACAGCTGCTTAAGTGGCAGTCACTGATTTTTCCTGCCTTCTGTACTCAGAGGAGGAGACCTACATGCCTACAGGGCACTTCACTGCCTGCTCTGACTCAATTTTCCCAGCTATAGGAATCCACTCTCCAAGACAGGATTCTTCTATTCCTGGGCTGTGGCTGAACACTGACATCAGACAGGCCTAGCACTACCTTTTTGTCCTTTAGCATCTTCTAGCTTGCCTTGAAGGTACATTTTTTCCAATTACAGGACTAATGGCAAGAAGAACAAACATATATGTTATCCTTACCTGTTTTCAAATTCTTTTGAAGTGTAATATGCAGTGACTATAGCCCTATATTAACTTGGCCTTTCTGTAACAAATCTACCATACTACTCGCTTGTAAATGAGGCATCTCTTTTGCTCATATACATTTTGAAAGCTTGCTGCAGTTTCTTCAAAAAAAAATAAAATAGTAAGAAAACCCCTCTTACGTGTCTGTGTAGCATGGTGCACTAAATTTGATTAAAACTCTCAGTGGTTCCTTTTTCCCCAAGGCTTACAGCTGTATTCGCTGCTGTAAATTGATCCTTTCCACATCTGCCTAACATGTGAGCCATGCAAAAACTCAGTGTATTTAAGGCCCTGTAGCACAGGGTGAGTTTCACCAGCCTCAGATAAATCAGAGTTGGAGCTGCCTGTGCTCTTTATGAGTGCAAAAGCAGTTTTTGAGTAGGTCAGTTCTGTTCTTTGGGGTTTTCTGGTGGTGTTTTTTATTCAATAACATAAACAAGAAGACTAATAAAGTTATTGTTCTAATAATACATAGTAGACAAAGGAAAGCTTGTGCTACATCTCTGCTATTTGTACTGTTAATAACTTGGTCTTACTAACCACATTCCTTGAATGTCTTTATAAATTGTCAGTTAAGTACCAAACCAATGTTAAAATAATGCTGTGATTTCAAAGCACCGTTCTACATAGGTATATGTCTCTTTCTTTCATATTTGCTCTCTTGGATACTAACATTAAAGGCTGGGATGGAGACAAAGAGCTGGTAGGCACCCAAAGCAAATAACTGGGAAAGGTTTTTGGTTTTATCTGGTTTGTTTTTGTGTTTGCTTTTTTTTTTTTTTCATTATTTTTGATTCCTTTTTTTTCTTTTTTTTTTTTTAAGCCAGAATATATATATTTTTGGGTGGTCCTGTGTGGAGCCAGGAGTTGGACTTGATGATCCTGGTGGGTCCCTTTCAACTCAGGATATTCTATGGTTCTATGATACATATGCTGGACACAAAACAAACACATAAAACAAACAAACAAATTAAAACATATCTGGAAGGTATGGGTACTTGACAGTGTCACTGGTCTGTCAGTACTCTTTGATTTGCCCTAACTATGCCTCCATATAGCTGGAATGGCTCATTTTGAAAATGATCGATGTAAATGAATGTATGTATACAGATGAAGCAAATCAGCAGATCTGCTCATTGTAATATTTTTAGCTGGATATGTTTACTTCTTTTCTTCCTTTAACACCCCACCCCCACCCCACTCCACCCAAAAAAGTTATGCGCTTTCATGAGCTCTGTTTATTTGCTGCAAAATTTTATTCTGAAGGGACAAGATCCAGTCTCTTCCTTGAGTTGCTATGTGACAATCTTTTATAAGGCTAACTTTGAAACTATCATTAGTGCTAGTGTTTTACAGAGCTTTTTCTGAAGCATTGGATCTGGCCTGTACTGTATGGATGGATGTTAGGAGGTCATTACTTGGCTGATCAGATTATAGTCTATACAAATTGACAAGGGATGATGAGATAATGGATACACTAGAATTCTTAGTTTTCATCAAGGAACTGTGGAACAAAGCAATTAAAAAAACTGCGGTCTTGACAGAACTCTGCTGTAGTGCAAATCAATTAAACCCAGATTCCCATAGCCCAGTGCAGTACCTTGACCAGAAGGCCATTCAGGAAATCAGTAACACACCAGATTTAAGTCCATACAGATGCTTAAATGCAATATAAGCAGGTTGTATGTGCCCTTGGCTGGTGAAAGCTGGTGGCAACCTTTCCAAGGATTTCTCAGTTAAGCACTGATTATCGATACATTCATAATAGGTCTTTGCTATAGTCCACATATTACTAATTAAAAAAATATATATATGTTATATGTTGACTTTTAAATATATATATATACCTTTTTTTTTGATGAGTGCTAATAAGAATGGCCTAAATTGGGGCCAAAAAAGCGAACAAAACAAAGTGTGTGAAATGCAAACAAACAAACTGCATATGGGAATATGAAAGGATTTTTAGCTGAAGGCTGAATGTGAGGGTGCTGTAGACAGAGTAATGGTAGTGTTGTAGTTTTTACCCTTGAGATATATGTCAAAATTTCAGGAGAGACTAAACAACTTAGAAGTGGTGTTTCTGCCTGGATTAGTGTGTTGTCAGGACAGTGCTATTCCTTTCAGTTTCATAAGCTTATTTCAAAGCCAGTGTTCTGAAGTGAACCATTGTAGGCTTAAAAAAAAAATAAAGGGGGAGAGGGAGGAGTATATAATAAATAAAGGTACTATGTAGCAAAAGCAGTGTTATTATTTTTTTTTTTCTGAGGAAATCTTGACTTTTAATCTTTCTTTAGGTTCTGAAGAAGAAATGGAGAAACTGGCAATGTAAAGCTGTGTTTCTTATCCCTAAATAAAACAATTAAATGCACAAGTAAAGGTATTTTTTCCTATCTGCTAGCTCTGGTTCAGCATTGAAACACAAAGCTGTGTTGGGTTTGATTCATGCAATAATAAATTAAAAAATTGTTATTCTGATTATGCTACTTGAGACAGAGTAAGTAGTATAATCCACCCAATATACCTTTGACTGTATAAAATTTGTGTGTTCAATTTTAAGCTAGTCCTGTATGTGCTTTTTGCAATAACCAAACAGTAAGAAGCACTGAAGAAAAAAATGTTGTCTTATCTCAATGAAAGTGAATTGACTGGCTGTTTGGAGATACTTTGCTTTCTCTGTTCCCTTTGAAAAGGACTCAGCTAACTTAGATTAGACACCAATATTTATAACACCGCATGAAGAATCTGGCATTCAAATGCTCTAAATTTCCACAAATAACAAGGTACTGTTAAAAGCTAACCAAATCTAGAAAAAGTGAATAAGCAATTCACTTGAATGTAAAACACCACCCCATTACAAGCACGGTATCTATGCTCAGTTATCTGTGTAAAATCAATTTCCATAGTGATCAGACATGCAGAATGGCAATTTCCCGAAAATTCGGAATCCTGGCCATGTAAAAATGCTTCTACTTGAATGCTGAGATCATTTGAATCATGTGATATAAGGGATTTATTTATTTACTTATCTATTGGTCTGTGACACTCTAACATCTCCTAATGTTTACAAGATATATTTTGTCATTTCAGACAGCGATTGGGAAGATTTATTTTTCTCTTTGGAGATCATTCTTCTCATAGGACTTTTTAAGTCATCTCATCCAGGCTAATAATGTCACCCCTTACTTGTAAAGACACTGGAAGAAAGGCTGGGACCTAAACTGCATGAACTGTCAAAACGTGTTACTAGCAGTGAATAGGCTAGTTGTGTTTCCACATTAAACCTTCTTGGCCTGCACCAAAATGTACAACTGATCAAAACCTGAAAAAAACTTGAAAACAAAAAACAAACAAACAAACAAACAAAAAAACCTTGGGAAAAAGAAAAAAAGAAAAGAAAAGAAAAAAAAGAATAGAGACCAAAAGCATTAGATGTCATTAGTGCTGTTGTGACAGGAATGTTCTTTTTCTTTAATATGTATCTTAGAGTTTTCACTAGGATGCTATATCCTGTGTATACAAGCATGTCCTGGTAGCTGAAAGACATAGGACAGCATTTGTTAGTATAGGCTTTTTTGTGTTTAAGGCCTTGGTGATTGCTTTTTGCCTTTGTTATAAAATTCCTGTGTAAAATTCCTTTTGGACAAGTTTATTAGGACCAGATTGTGTATTTTCTGTGGTACTGTTGAACAACTCAGTGCATAGTCAGCTGACTCTCTATTTTCATCAGGTACTCCCAGCCTTTATTCACATTAGCAAAATTTTATTCTGTCAAGTGGATCTGATCATTTTAATTACGCTTCCTTCAGAAATCTGCTAAGTGAGAGTAGGGATGGCAGATCTAACAGCATGGTGGTGTGGCATGGAGGACGTAACTGTTAATTCTACCTCAGAGGAATACAACACATAATACTGTTGAAAAATGGAGGGTAAATTTTTCATCTTGGATTCAGCAAAGAATATCTAAGTCAGGCTATAACCCATGTCTGGATAAGTGCTGCTGCTACACATGTTCATGTCAATAATTTAAATCTTTGGTCACTCCAAAAAAACCTAGCCAATTAAAAAAAAGAAAGAAAAAAAAAAAGAAAAGGAAAAAAAAAAAGTAATTACTATGATCAGTAAACGCATGGAAATTTTTACTCTATAACTGTGCTGACTGTGTCATCCAATAGCATATTGCTTGACTGCTTTTGAGACTCCATAAGCTCTCTAAGCATTAGTTTTCCCATTTGCATGTCAGGCATAACAGTGATTGATCCGTCTCTCATTGGCATAGTGAAAGTTAATCTTTTAAGGTGTTTTAAAATCATTCAGTAAAAATGACTGATGGATTCATTACTAATCCTTCGCAGTCACTGGTACAGTACATAAATAAGCCTCTTTTATGGTCAGAATTTTGAGCAGAGTTTTGTCATGGTATGTGAAAAAAAAAAAAAAAAAAAGCAAACAGGCTTCTTTGTCATGTAACTCTATTAAAAACTGTCTTGAGATGCTTGCCTTCCCACTTCAGACCTCAAATGGGTATTCTTTTCTTGGGAGCTTTGTTTAGGGGTCTACATTATACACATGAAAGTGGCTGCAAGTACTACAATGAATCTTGCCAAGGCATAACTATGCTCAGGACTGTGCACATCAATTTTCCTTCTCAGAATATTTACATTCATAGAGAGCTTACTCAAGTGTTGAGTATTTTCAGTATTGGAATGCAGCATGAACACTAATTTACTTTTTTAAAAATTGACTTCTCTGTAATTTGGGAAGTTTTTAACCTGGGTTTAAGTAAATTCAACAAAAGTTTCTTACAAAAACAGAAGGGGAAATATAATTAATGAATGCACACATAATTAGTGTGTGTTTCTTTTAGTCCATACCACACATAATTAGCATGTATTTATTTTAGTCCATACAGCTTGATCATGACAAACTACTTATAGTTCATAGTAGTTGAGTCTCCAGACCATGCTGTGACTTCCCTGTGAATGTTATCAGGGTATAATCAGGGAAAGTGCAGAAAAGATGAAAGTGAAACTGAAATATATTAGATACTCGGTAATTCTGAGGATTAAAATCCATCAGTGCCTTTTAAAATCCTTAAGTTTAAAGAAGCTTTGTTTCATTTCATTTTCTTTATGTATTTACATTTAGGCTGCTTCTATAATAATACTCTACTCAAAAAGTCAAACACCTGTTCCTAATTTATGTTTCATGACTGTAGTTTACCATCTTACACTTTCTCTGTCAATATTCATAAGTTCTGAATTTATCCTTTTTTTTAAACAAACAAAAAATGGATCTGTCTTTAACATGGTCATATCACCTCTAATGGTATTATCCATTAAAAAATAAAGAATTTATTACTGCATTACAGCTAGTACTTGGAATTCAAGGTTTTGCTCAGCTTTTTTGTGGTTAATTGTCACATGAAAAATTGTTGGTTTTCTGTGTGTCCGTTAACTTTTTTGTTTATTTATTCAAGGTCTGGGTTAACTGTTGAAAGTATCTTCACAAACTGGCTTGACTCTTCTGGAATACCAAAGGTAAATACAAAATATCTGTTCTCAGTTCTTTGTGGAGATTTGCACATTATATCATACTTTATTTTAAATTAACAGTTTTGATTATGACTAATTTCTAGATCTTTAAACACTGATCATTGACTTTTATTTAGTTATTTAGTGGTCACAAGCATTTAGTGGTCACTTCTACCATCGTCTCAATGAACCTGCAAAAAGACAAATCTTACAAAATATATCTTCCTGCTTAATATTGTAGTCATTGGAAGTATGCTTTACAGTATAATGCTGGATTCTACTAAATGTTAGAAGCATTGCTCATAGTTGTCATTATAGAAATTACTGACAGTCATATGAACAGCAATGACTTCACTATATATTAAATATAATTATTTGTACTTTGATGCTTTGTGGATAGTGTGAGTTGCTTGTGAATCTGCTGCACAGATAACATTTCTTTGGGGGTCCAACTCTGTTGCAGTTGAGACTGAACATTATTTCCTGCTTTTAATGTCGAGAACTTTTTCATATTAATGTTTTAAATTATGTGAACTGAGAATACTTAGTAGTCTGTGGTATTTGAACACTTTGTATATTGCTTTTGTTACAAAATTGGCATCAGCCAAAGAAAGGTATCCCTGTAGAAAAGTTCCTAAAATAGCTTTTTCCAAAATATGTTTTTATTTTATATTTGGTGCTCTAATTATAATTGGTTTGCACTACACTGGCTTTGCTTAAGTTGCTTGGAATTTATCTTAAGTAGAGCTTGCATTGGTTTCCACTTTGCATTGCCATTTTTAAGAGTTAGAATGATAACCTGGTTTGTATGTGCAAAAGTGAGAGGTATATAGGCAGCATGGCTTTGGCTCTCGGGACTGAGCACGTTTGCGAATAGAATTGTCAAAGTGGGTCAAAATGACAAGCAGTGGTCTGTGAACCTGAGCCATACCTGAACATTGTGGTTGAGTTCTTGTCAGCTTCAGAGGTATTGTGCACCTCCATTGTTCTTTTTGTGCTGTACAAGGTTCTCTGGGAAGTTTTGTCTGGAGATCAAAATGTTTGAAGACACCATGAAATCATGGAATTTGCTTTTTGCTGTAAAACTGTTGAAAGGAATATTAGCTTTAACTGGAAGAGGGGAAGGGAAGGGGCAGTATCATCATGCATCTTCATGTTCGTTCATTTCTTGAAAAAGGATTTTGATTTTAATACTAAATTTCAATCAAGGTTTTGTTCCTGATAGAAGATCCAATAGATTGTAGAACAGCTGCTTCAAGTATTGCACAGAAACTAAAGTTGCACAGTTACTGCTGTAAGATGCTGAACTGGCTGCCTGAAATGAAAGACTTTTCTGGCATTTTACTTTTAAGTATGTCTCTGAAGATGTCCCTTGCCAGTTTCCTACAATCAACTCTAAAATCACAAATAAGGAAGGTGAGAATAGACTAAATAATTGAAAATAGTGATTAGTGTGAAAACTGAACTCTCTGTTTATGTGAGTGAGTAGTATGGGCTGTTCAGAATGTCTAGCAAGTAGTTTCATAATACCCTGGGAGTATCTACTGGGTGTGTAAGCAAAATATACAGCAAAAATATTGGCACATTCAGTGGGCTTGTAAATCATCGTAAATTTTTGTTAATGACCAAAGAGATTTTCCTGATAGTTTGGCTGTTCTGTTAAATCAGCAGTGCCAACTGGAATAGTGCTGATTTAATTTTCTGTTCGTTTGAGAATCAGCATACGGACTTCCATTTCTCTCTCTCTCTCTCCCTCATCAATAACCTTCTTGGCAATTTACTCTTGTTGCCTTCAGCACATCTCAGGCTCTTGCGGGAACTGGTTTCCACTTTACTGAAAGAAATGGAGTTATCATTCAGTGAATACAAAGCCTTGTTCACTTAGTGCTTTATTAAATCATTTAGGGAGGCCTTATTCCTGAAATCAAAACTGTAGAGGTTGCCTAGCAGCTCCTAATATGTTGTTAGTATCTGTAATCTGAATATGACTGTATTTACTGACTAGAGAACTATAAATACACTAGTGTGCTGTACAGGAGCTGATACAGAACCCCCCTTTAAAAGTATTTAAATTATTATCTTTCCAGCAAACTGATTTCTTAGCTCTCATGATAGATCAGGGCTGGCAAAGGCATGTAATCCACTTTCTTACATTCAGTTGAATTACCTGCATCAAGGAGAAGCCCAGGGACGCCACAGAGTTGATTTCTTCTCTTTTATAGGTTGCTAGGTGAGTAGACAAGGGTGTTTGTAGAGGAAGGCTTCTGTCTGCTCCTCTGGATGAAATGACATGGCTGAGCCCGCCAGCCAGGCAGTGTGAGCTTCGTGAGGCACACATTGCAGCTGATTGCCTTTCTTGTGTGGTGGGGCAACCAAAAAGCAGCTGGTGAATCTTTGCTCCAAAAATGTCTCAAAGACAGAAAAGCAGCGTCCTGTGCCCTACACAGGATTTGGCAACTTTCTGCTTATTGCCCTTACTTTGCAGACTGCTCAATGTCCTGTAGCATGGTAGTTAAAATATCTCCTGATTTACAAATAGTATCTAAGACTTCACTGCATTTGGAGTGGAAACCTCCCTACTGAAAAGATTAACCTATGTTACAGGGTCAGGAAGTATGCATCATGCTGTCCATTCTGAAAATTACATCAGAACATATTTCTCTTGTATCTTTCCCATATGTGGATTTATATGTTTTCTACTGTCTTTGTTTGTTTCCATGGTGTTTTTTTGTTTGGGTGGGTTTTGCTCAGGAAATTCATGTCGGCAGTTAATACAAAGAAAATTTACCAGGCTCAGCTGATTTGCAGCAGCATCAACCAAAGTGAAACTCCTAAAAAGAGTTTTCTTCCATGGTTATATCCAAATGTATCTAAAGTACCCGTGCTTTGTATCATTTGCCATCCCTAGCCTGTTTCCAGTTCTGTGCAGGGAACAGTATGTGTATGTATCTATTTATATATATACACTCCATTATACTTGTAGTTTATAATTAGCAAAACTTTAATATTAGTCAATCTCTGTTACCATTGCAGTCTTTGAAAAGGAATGTTGTCTTTTCTGGGCCAGTTTCCAGGCTCTTATATATACCACTACTAATCAAAAGTAACACTATGTGAATTAAGGGAGTCATACTGATAAATAAAAACAGAATTTGACCTACTGCCTTTAAAAAAAATAAATAAATAAAAATAAAAAAAAATCTACAAGCCAATTTACACTTTCAGCTTCTGTATTTTCTAAACCATTAAAGGTTAATCCTATAAAAGAAGTGTATGTGCTAATGCCTGGCCAGTCTTCTCATAAATGGGAGAGTATCACAGCACAGTGGCTCCCTTGAAGCTTGCTGTGTGGTAAGGTTTTCTTATAAACAAAACAAAAGGATCATAAGAGATGAAAAGCAAGCATTTCTGAAATATGAGCTTTCAGGAGGATTTGTTTTTCCAGGAAAGCATTGTGGTGGTGTTAAGTAAGGTGAAGCACGGTGTGTTGTTGAACATACAATCTATCAAACCATGTATCAGCAGCCTCCAGTCTGTAGTTCAATCTCAGAAGTGACTCAGAAGCGACTCACTGTAGCAACTTTTCATCATGCACAAGGGTAGTAATGACTTAACGCCACTAACTGTAGTCAATGAATTAAGCTGGCAAGCAGAATCAGAAAAACCAAACAGTATTTAGAGCAGGAAAACACCTATGAAACTACTTAAATCCACTTCATTCCTGCCAGTGACGATTTGTTCTCTGAAGTATGGTTTCTGTTGTATCTTTCAATTTGTGTAATGTCCTACTTTAATTAGAGTTTAAAGCTAAAGGACTGTATGCTTGTTGAGCAAGATCTTCTATTCTGCACAGATTTGTTTTTGTTTTATATTGTCCATCTGCTTTTATGAGAATTGGTTATTCTATCATAGTGCATTAATCTTTTTTTAAAAATAAATGTAAAATGTTTATTTTAAATTCTTGGGAATTTTTAAATGAGTAGTAGAAGAAATAACATCAAGTAGTATCTGCGTCTCATAAACTCCCTACAAGTACTTTTTTTGCTCATTCCAGTTTTACCACTTTTAAATTTATTTATTTATTTTTTTCTCTGTGAAGCTACATTGTTTCATAGGTTGCTATTATTTACTGGTAAACTTGAAATCTATCCTGAGTGTTCTTGGGGTGTGCATTTGATTTGTTACCTTGTGTTACAAAAGTGACCCTCAGGTTCCCTCTTAAGTTGCCGCTGTATCCTGTTAAAGCACAATTCTTATCCTCTCTTCCAGCTTAAGTTGTATTCCCTGATTGTAGTAGGTACTGCCAACAGGTATGTCAGAGCATGTGCATCTTTCTGAGAGCATTGGGAGAATACTACTCCATGATTTCTAATTCTGAATGAACATTGGAAGACTGCTTCCTGTTACAATACTAAGAATTTTACCACTTAAAAAGAATTTGTATTTTTTCCTCTCTGCACTATTTCTTGTTACTATGGTGAAGAAGTAGCTTAAGCTCTGCCTACTAATGTTACTTTTGTAAACCAACTATACTTCTGGAAATATGCAGGCGAAAAAATTCTTCCAGTGGTGAATATTTACTCATAGTATTTCTAGTTTTACTTATATGTGACTGGCTCTTGGGTTGTCCTACTTGAAGAAATGGAATGCAGAACTAAAGGAAACTTCATGAACTATTAAAAAAAAAAAAAAAAGAATTAAAATGTAGTTTGTGCAGTGTTCTAAATCAATGTAGGTAATATCTTTCTATGGTTTCATAAATTTTAGGGGATGTTATAGCAGCAGCTCAGGCACTTAATATGATTTCTCATGAAGCAGTCTGTTACTAAGACGGCTCCTGGCTTTTGCCCCAGTTATAAGCTTTATAGATTTCCTGTTTCCTTTTACTAAGAGAAAATGACAGATGAAGGGATAGCTCTGCAGGCATAGTGGCTGTGGCACGGATGCATTGTAGCATAGTGGTTAAAGTCAATTATTAACAAACCAAGCAAATTAAAGCATTTTTTAAAAGAATTGTCTAATGCTTTGTAACTATCCCTAGCAGTTGCTCACACAAGCTTTACAGAGGGTACTAGAAAAATTTTCAGCAGAAAAATTCTCATTGTATTATAGTGTAACTGAAGGCTTGCATATGTTAACGCTTGGTATTTCTAGTCAAGCCTTATCTTGTACTTTTTTCTCTCTGGATACATATAATAACTGCATATTAGTGGATGTCAACAATGAAACAGTAAACAAATGAAATCCGTGTTGTTTGTTGAGATACGGTGAATTTGTAGGCATTAGCAGCAAACATGACGTGCTATGTAGAAAAATCTTATTTAAGCTTGTAATTCAGGGAAACAAATGGGAAAGGGCTATGAAGAGGTATAAATTTTCATACTTATTTAATAAAGTTTAACTGTGAATGTTAGATTCATTTCAAACTTGGTAATAAGTATTAGTCACAAGAATAACGTGCTGCTGCTTAAGCACTGAAGTTTGCTACTCACCTTATCTTTGATTATTTTATCTGAACATAGAATCATAGCATGGAGCCTTTTGTGTATGTTTTCATATCATTGCAAGGGATATAACTAACAGGTACTGAATTCTAATAATTCTAGTGAACAGGTATATGAGAATTAATCTGAAGAAAATGTAATTGCTACTTAGCAAGATACATATTCTTGTACATGGATGGAAAACACCCTGAAGATGCTTCCCCTCAAAAAAAAAGGGGGGGGTGGTCCTATTGATATTAAACTGCTTGCAGATTGGCAGATGAAAAAAAACTCCCAAAGTCCTTAAAAACTTAAATTAGCACAGATCAACAATATATATCAGTTCATGGAATCTCTAATGATAACAAGAGAATGAGAAAAAACTTTTTCCATGTGAATCATTAATGCTTTCTATTTTCAAAAATTAGTCAACATTTCCTCCCATTTCCTTAAAAGAAAAGATGGGATTTAGGAATATACTGCATAGTACTATAACATGCATAAATGAGAGTTGAATTACAAAGAGAAACAAACGAAAACAGATTGCACAAACAGACTTTCTCTCTACACTGTAAACTCTTTGAAAGCTGTTTTAGATAAAGATTATGCATTTGAAAGTCTTTCTAGACAGACCAAACTGGAAAAAATTGATATTTTGTTTGTGGCAAAGTATCAAATAAGTTAAAAGGTCTATTATTATTTAAATAATAATAAGGAGGACAAAGTGATCTAAAGAAAGTAATTGTCATAAAATGTAATTATAATTTAATTAGATGTTCCTATAAATAATACTTAATACTGCTAAACAAGGTCCAGACTGATGTGTTTTTGTTTGCTGGATCATTCAAAAGCCCAAGGAAATTGCTTATATAAAATGATGCATCACCAAATTTATTTCAGATATATATATATTTCAAATTCAGGCATATCTTATAAGATTGTTACAGTTTTAGAAAGTTTCAGGTAAATTTCTTCAGGATTGCGTGTGATTGCTGATTTTAGGGGCAAAACAGATATTCATCATCAAAACAGCATTTTAATGAATTGTTGTGTGGTTTCCATTCCAAGATTGGAAAACAGGCTTTCTCAGGTTTGCCACCTACATAGTGCTGACTAACTTGAATGTAGATGTTCATTTTAAAATATTAGAGTTGAAAATATTGGCCACAACATTTTAGTGCCTCCGTTGTTCTTGTTTCTAAAAGTGAAGTTTAAACTATAATTTTAGTAATCTTATTTTAGCCATTAATTGAATGATTCAGGAAAAAAAAAAAAAAAAAAAAAGGCTTCTGAGATTCAGAGCTGGAATGCACTTCTGCAGTAATGCTGAGGTGGATACTTCACTGGATTTAGTTTAATGACCTGCTAAAACACTGGCATACCTCTCCAGTCAAAAGTGAGATTTTCACAAACATTTTTCTGTTTTCCCTCAGGATGTCCATTGGCATCGTGTAGCTTAGAGGTACAACAGTAGTACTAGTATAGTAAATCTGAATGAGTAATAGCTTGTTCAAAAGGTTAAAGTGCATTTGAAATAATGTTCCATTTCTAAAATAAAGGTGGACTGGATTCCACACGTTTGTTCATTAGAATCTCTTTCAAAACAAATCTCTAGCAGTCGTTCCGATTCCCTTTTCCTATTAATTGCATTGCTGAACACAAAAGCTATGTTATGTGCAGAATGACTGGGCTTATCCCTGCTAGAAAGGAGCTATGTTTGGTATCTCAAGAACAATAAGGGTTTGCTGCCTGGTTGATCAGTGCTGGTTCAAGTTCACATTCCCAAGCTCCCATTCCCCCACCTACATATGCAGGGGGTGGAAACAGCAAAGGGAGGGAGGACAGGTCCTTTTTTTACACAAAGATGCTGAACAGAGACTTGCCAAATATGTACACAGTCAGGCTTGCATTGCCATAAACATTGATTTTAATCCATTCCTTGTAAAAACAATGAAAAGAGCAGAAGTTAGTAACCAATTAGTTTTTACTGTGTCTGTTGTTTTACTTGCCTAGTGGAAACAATTCACAGAGGCTTAAAATATTTTTGTGATACCTTGCAAGAAAACAGATTTTCTATATTGATTAGTGAAGAGTAGTCCTCTAAACTTATGAAGTCTCCCCAATTTAGCATCCATTATAAGTAGTTTTAGCAAGCTGGACACCAGATATGAAATAATGAAAAGTCAAATTCTACTTTACTAAATACATGTAATATTTGAGATATATTTAGTGCAGGAGAATGGAGAGTTGGCCATGAAGCTCAGGGAAATATTGTATGTGACAGAAACAAGTTACCACCTTCCACGGTGGTCTAGGGCTTTTGAAAGAAACACACATTTCACCGCCTGGAAAATTTCCCTGTTCTCTGGACTTTTAGAGAAACACGCTTGTGAATGGAAGGAATGAACATGTAGGGAAGATGTGTATTTGTACACATAAAC